ATAAAGAATTTAGTTGTCTGATTTTTTATTTTTTTTTATAGCTTTTAGCCTTTAAGAATTGCACCTCCGCTGAGAACATCCTGGGTCCGCCGCTGCACGCATGGCTAGCCAATTGACCTCAATGTTATCTTGAAATAATTCCATCCATTTTGAATCTTCAACGCTTGCACCTCCGCTGAAAACATCCTGGGTCCGCCGCTGGATAGGATCGTCATGGTCAGAGAGGAAAATGAGTTTTGGTCGTTGATTTTTAAAAATGGTGATGAGGGACATTATGGTCCTTAATAGTTTATAGGAATTCAAGTTGCAGAGTGGGCTGCTCTATCTGGTTGTTGCATTGATGTTACCAGTCATTAAATTTTGGGAGCTTTAGTTTTAAACCATAATATAGTTTACTAATTTAGTAGAAAGAAATACAATTTAGTCTAATTAGCAAAAGGCCAAAAACCAAAATGTAACAAAAATACCATTACAAAATATGAAAATTACACACAATGCCACTCCTTCTAAGGCAAGCATACTATGCCACATGTCCATATCTAGCCAACCACCACCGCCGGAATCTCGTCGCCGGCCACCACCGCCGGAATTTCGCCGCCGACCGCCACGCCGGAATATCGCCGCCGGCCACCACCGTCGGACTCCCTTCGCCGGCCACCTGCCACCGTCTACAGGGGATCAACTCCGTTGCCATTTATTCACCTTTAAAAAAAAGATTTTGTGTCATTCAATGGACTCGAACCTTGACCCTCAAAGGAGGAAGGCTCACTCACAAACCACTACACCAAACTTGATTTTGTAATATATATTCAGTTATACAATATTTATATAAACAATCAATGGTTTTAAAAATTTTAAAAAAAAATCATTTCAACATTTATTCACACAAAAACTGCAAATAAAAACAAAAATTGTAACAAAAATACAATGTAGATACCAATTATGTTAAAGAAACAAAAACAACTACAAAGACAATTGTAATTAAATGAAAACTGCAATGCAGTTTCCAAAACTACAATGCAGTTTCCAGTTTCCAAAAGTCCAATTTTGAGTTCCGTTTCCTCTTGGGTAGTTCTACTCTTCTCTTGCCCACCCAATTCCTCATCTGGATAGCCTCTACTCTTCAAATCGGTGAGGTTGAAGGCCAAGGAAAGAGCAAAAATCAAATTGTAATTAAATGAAAACTGCAATGCAGTTTTGAAACTGAAATGTAGTTTCCAGTTTCCACTACTACAAAAACCACTTTGCGCGACGAATGAATTTTGGTCGCGCAAAGGAAAATTTCGTCGCGCAAAGTTTGCGCGACGAAATTTTGGTCGCGCAAATTCTGTCGCGCAAAACTCGTGAAGAAAGGGTTTGCGCGACGGCCAAAATTATTCGTCTCACAAAGCCACTTTGCGCGACGAATCATGACGACTTTGCACGACGAATATTAATTATTTCGCGCGACGAATCCTGAAAACTTTGCGCGACGGACAATAACAACTTTGCGCGACGAATATTAATTACTTTACGCGACGAATATTATATACTTTGCGCGACGAAAGTTAATGTCGCGCAAGTGTACTTTGCGCGACGAATGTGAACGTCGCGCAAAGGTTTGGGCGACGAAATATTCATTTTTTTTAATTTTTGTTTTTTGAAAATTTTAAAC